TAAGAAAACTGTTTTAAATTCACTTTTCAACTTTGCGATAGTTAATATATTCATTTGTCTCAAATAGCTATCACAAAATTATTCAGCCATTCAGTTATTCAGAGAGAAAAAAAAGCCCTAGTACTAATTAGGATTACGTGCTATGAGTTAAGAGGCTTAGGTTGTTGCTGTCATCAGTCACTGCACAAAATCAAATCAACACGGCTCATTCGATCAATCGGTTCAAAAAGCAGCTGCTGCCACGATTAAGTAGTCGACAATTCAAAGACCTTTTACCAGCCCAAAAAAAGATCTAGCTAAGAGCTAATTAAACTGTATATGCTTCTTTAGTGGTGCATGCCGGCCGTTGCAATTGCAAAGCCCGGTTTTAATCATTATTCTTCTAGCCTAGTTAGCAAGATGAACAAGCATACGACTTTGTCTGATGAGTTGCAAAAGGAAGAATTTTTCAGCTAGAAAGTAGAGAAGAGGAGACCCAAAAAGGTGAAGCTGAATTGCACATCATCAGTCTCTCTCATGCTCCCCTACCAACAGGGTGTGTGCTATGTGTGATCCCTAATTATTTTTTTCGTTTTTTTTTCTTGCCACTATTGATCACTGCTGTTCAAATTTTGATTGATGTTTTAACAGTAATTCATAAATACCTAAAATTGTACAACGGGAAATATATGGGATGCATGACAGCTATATAATCATATCTTACAAATTCCATTAATTAAGCCGGCTATATATGCTAGATTGTGTTGTGTGTGAATACTAGCAAGGCCATGTATGGAAATGTGCATGCGTGCATGAGTGCATCTGAGGTTGAAATTGTACATTTGTGTAGCTATCACAAAGTTGAAAAATGTAGTACATGTGTTAAAGCTCTTTGAAAAATGTAGTACACATGTGTTACCATCAATATGACAATAGGCAGGTTAATTTTGATTAGAAATGAGGACTCAAGAGGTAATTATATGATGTTTCATTGGTCTCATTATTTCCCGCCTTAATTTCAGGGGTTTGGAGTTCTGGAAGGCGCATGAGCTCGTCAGAATTTCAGAATAACGCACTTGATAAATTGTGCTTTTTGATGAAAAATACAGTTAATTATATTTGGCTTCATATCAATGAAAAAAACTGCTATATCCTTCTGATGGTTTTCATAATACGCATATATTTCAAGATTTAAACTTTATTTTTACTAAACATTTAGTCCCTCTGGCTCTATAGTTCTTAAGTTTTGAAGAAGTTTGATGTTACACAATTTGAACTTTAACTATCAATGCCTTTTAAAATTTTTGTTTTGAAGACACTAAAACATGATATGTAGATTGGTCTAAAAAATACTTAAATAAAATTAAACACTTTTTTACATATTATAATATAGAAAATCATAGTCAGTGGTAAATTTTAGAGACCATGCCATTGTTCAAAATATCAAGAATTATAACACTAGAGGGAGTAGCCGAATTGTATGTAAATTTTGTGAAAAAACATAGAACCATTGGGCTATCACTAGAATTCACTTACATTTAGAGAAACCTATGGCTTATGCACATAGCATCCAATTGTCGATATTAGGATTTAAACCTTAGTAGATTGGAGTCACGTCCATAGTTCCATTCACTTCCTTATATATATATAGTTCCGTCATCTTAATAAAGCTGCTTCCCCGAATTCACTTTTATTTATTCCGACATTGCTACCCACGGTACATTATAAGACAACTTAACAGTTAAAGTTTTCAGATCGCAATGACTCAAAACTATCCTTACAAAAATCAACCGAGAGATCAGAAAGCACCATTACTTGATCAAGGAGACAAAAAATATCTCACACAAATGATCGATGTCAAACTGTCAAAAAGTCAAATGCACAGTGGCAGATAGAAAGGTAAAAAGGCAGAAGAAAAACTGTGATTAATTATACAAACAAAATCGACTCAACCGTGTTCTTGTCATTACCGCAGATGCTTTGCTACAACACTAAAAAAAATTATTCACAGCCTATTGGTCATATAGCTGTGAACTTGTAGCTATGAACTTGTAGCTGCTTTATATAGTTAATTGACTGGATTAATTAAGAGAAATTAACGCGTATTAAGATCGAGATCTCGCCTGCCAAGCTTATCCTATACATGTCACCATCAAACTCGTGTACACGATCGATCAAATCGAACATGCATGGCGATCGATCGATCATCGATGGATTTGCAGATCGAGCAGATTGTTGTTGACTCGTTGCAAAAAAAGTTGTTTCAACTCGAGAAATTAAAGGCATGCAAGCACGCATGGACTGGATTTTTCACATTTTGGTCCTTTTGAAAAACTTATTTCGCAAGTAGATCCCTAGAAAAACTTATCCCAAAAACGGTCCTTTTTGGGGCGCCAGAGTGGCTGGCGCCGTCGTTCAACAGGACGGCGCCAGCCTCTTTGGCGCCGTCCCACCGCCGACGTGGCGGGGCGATGCTGAGGTGGCTAGGGGGAGTGCGCCAGAGTGGCTGGCGCCCCCCCCCCCGAAATTTTTTATTTTTGTTTTATTTGTTTGATATTTTTTTCACGCTTAGGGACACACAAGAACCAACCATAGAAAAATTGAACTCAAATGGACGTAATATGTGACATGTAGAATTTTTCCTCTCCTCTCCTCTCTCCGAACTAGTGTAGAGGAGAGAGATGTGCAACTTTTTTATTTTTATTTTTTTTAATATTTTTTCACACTTAGGAACTCACAGGAACCAACCACGTAAAAAATAAACTCAAACGGACGAAATATGTGGCATGTGGAATTTTCCAAAGCTCCACCGAAAAACTTCTCTCCTCGAAAACATAATCTTGCAAGCGGAATTTGGAGGTTTTAATATCGCCAAACCCGGCAAAGCGGGGGAGAATCGGATGTAACTTTTTCTGTAGATGTCCGTTCATATATTATTTGCCTGATTCCGAGTCCGTATGAGAAAGTTACGCCTATTTTAATAGATGGCATATTTTGTCCGTTTCGGTAGAGTTTTGGAAAATTCTACATGTCACATATTTTGTCCGTTTGAGTTTATTTTTTATACGGTTGGTTCCTATGTTCTCCTAAGTGTGAAAAAAATATCAAAAAAATGAAATAAAAAAAATTGCATCTCTATGTACTGTTTAACTTATATGTCATTTCATGTGGTTATATTTTGAATTAGATTAAGTAATTTATATAGTGGTAGAGTACATTATGTTTAACATGCTGATCAAAGGGTTTTACTAAAGGAGTTATGGTCTAATTTGAGTGAAGGTGCAAAGTAGACTAAGTGGTATGCTAGATATTTTCAGACTTAGCTAAGTGGTAGTTCGAGTTTAATTTTTTTTTTGTGGTTGGTTGTATCGTGATCCTGAGTGTGAAAAAACATCCAAAAAAATAAAATAAAAATGACACCGTTGCAACTCTATACAAAGAAACAGGAATGGAGGTGGCGGCACCAGCCATGCTGGCGCCCTCCTCCCTGGGGCGGCGCCAGCATGGCTGGCGCCCTCCTCCTGCCACGTCAGTTCGCGTGCGCCACGGTGGCAGGAGGACGGCGCCAGAGAGGCTGGCGCCGTCCCGTTGGATGACGGCGACAGCCACTCTGGCGCCCAAAAAGGACCATTTCTGGGATAAGTTTTTTCAGGGGTCTATTTATGAAATAAGTTTTTTAAAAGGATCAAAATGTGAAAAATCCAGCACGCATGGATGCAATTGGCAAATGTGCGAGTTTTGCTGAATTTGCTTGCTTGACTGGAGGACTCTTTAGACTTCAGTCTTCGTTTGGCTAGGTTAGCTTATTAGGTAGGTAGATGGATAGCTTATAGTGTATAGCTTAGTCCAAAGCTAGCAAGCTAGCCACTTGTTGTGTTTACATCAGCCATGATCCATGATTTTGAGCTTAATTAGTTAGCGAGTTAATTTTACATTGATGTACCAGAGAAAAAAAATCTAAATTCATTAGTATGTAAGAGAATATTACTACATCCGTTCCAAAATATAACAACTTATATCTTTGTATCCGGATATTCTAGGATGGAGTAGTAGGATTTGATAAACAAAAATATTTTTTTAGGAAAAATGATATTAGTATAGTTGACCTAGAAAATACTTCCTATGTAGTTGAAAAAAGTAATGATAAAGTATATGTGCATGGTCCTATTAGAAATTATGTTGATATCAAAACGTCAAACAAAAAAACGAAGATGATACAAGCTAAATGTGAATACATAGATCTCAAATTCTTTTATAATTTATTTCTTTCCCTTTTTATCATCTATAGATAAATCTAATAAAGTATGCAAATGCCACTCATTGGATCAATATACAAAATATACAATGATCGCTCTAAATATTTTTATTTTCAATGAACCGGAATTGTTTTGTTTTTGCTAGGACTTAGTTTTTGACCCCTTGATTTTCGCCGCTAAAGCTATCACTCTAAACAAATCCATTTAGCTGCTAAAATAAGTTGCTTAGATCTCTGGGTGATGCTGTGAGTCACCCAAAGAAAAAATGACGCAAGCTAAGAACCGTGTATTATCCACTACAGTCGTACTAGCATACCCTAGCGAGAAGCCGCATCGTATCGAACATTCGAACCCGTAGTACGTGTGGCCACGTCAGGAATTGACACGTCACCGTGCCAAAAAAAATCGCACGCTTGTATATGTACACGTGGCAGGCTGTAGCAAGTACGTGGTGACGACGACACGTACGATACGATACCAGCTGCGGCTAAAATTGCACCTGTACCTACCTTGATCAATTCTGGCCGGTCAACCGTGTACTTGCACAAGTGGCATCGTGCAGCAATGTACCAGTATCTGTCACGTACGGCTCATGTAGTCAAACATGTTTTTTATTTCTTCTTCTTTTTTTGAGAGGAGTCAAACGGTCAAACCTTGTTGGATGTTTCTCGATGCTTCCAGTAACTAGTGTCTTCTAGCATTTCCGTGGTTTGGGCCTTGTTGAAGTGGGCCACATCAAGCCCAAAAGCCCAGCCCAATCTAGAATTACTTCTGCCCATCACCCATCAAATTCTGGCAGAATTCACATGAATTTCCCCCATCTTTGTTCATAATGAAATCCAGTTCATGAGTTTGTTTCTGGCAACAACATTTTCAGTGTAAGATGCCTGGAGCCCTGGACTGGAGGGGCATTACGTTCCAGCTTTATTATTGCTGCTGGAGTTCACACAGGCATGATCATCATCATCACTAATCAACAGGGGAGTGCAGTAGTGGTACCTACAGGAAACATGCTCTCTCATGAGATCGGCATTGCTGAGGACAGCTTGTCCGCCAGCCCTCCGGCCATCCTCTCCGCTCGCTCCCCTCGTTCGCCGGTGCGTATTCTGATCACGTCCGACACGGGTATCACTGAGAAAATGTAACACCATACAAGTCAGGCGTAATAGCAGAGAAACATTACATGATATATGCAAAAGAATGCGACGTTTGGTTGCACGGAACATTAGTGCCTTTAGGATTGAAAGGGCGTTTATGTTGGCATGTCGATAAATTCGTTATAGTAGCTGCCTCTGTTGAAAAATCAATTTTAAATAATTTTTTTTCCAGAATGGTATGGTGAAAGCCTGATTAGATTACTCTATGCTCTAGTGCAATTGATACTCAATATTTTTAAGTTACATATATTTTCTTTATGTCAGAGATAAAATACATAGAGCACATGAAGAGAAACAACAGAACTCGATAGATGCCTGCTCAGGGCAATAGAAGCTCACTTTGATACAAAGGTGAACAGTGGGAAACTGGGAAATGATCTGAACGTAACAACAGAGCAATAAAAGGTCATCAGAAACAGCATGCACTTACAAAATATTTTTCCATCACCAATTTCTCCTGTTCTTGCCTTTTCAATTATCTTGTCAACAACAGCTTCAACCTAGAGAATGCCAAAAGGGAAAAAGAAAGAAAGAAGAATAGGCTGTTTAAGCTGTTGTTTTTAAATTGTCACAAAAACATGCAGAACAGGCAGTAATAATATCACGGAGGGACAGCAAAACATGTTTAGAAATGTAGTAGTAGTGATCGTACCCACATAGTCAATGATCTCGGATGAATACTGGGAAAGTTTAGGTATATGTTTTTTCAAATTTCAACATTACAAAATAGTAATGAAGAAATCACCTGATCCTTGGACACCACTATTTCCATCTTAACTTTATCAATAAATGTATCTTCTGCAAATTCTGACCCTGCACGACAACAAAAAAAAAGGAGCACCATCAGTACAGATTAATCTAGCCTTCACACAATAATACAAGCATACATGCATGCTCAGTTGTGCAGAGACCAAAACTTCTTTGAACCATAATTAACATGCCAATGTTGCTATTGATACAAATGCTTAAACTACCCTCCCTTATCACAGTAATCTTCTTATTCCTAACATTTCCCAAATCCATGCTTCTTTTCCAATCATATAACCGCAGCAAACTATTTGGATAAAAATAGTGATAGTAGTTGATTCAAGTATGTGCACAGATAGTTTATGCCAGTGCCCAGTTGCTCCTTGCACCAGTGGCATTTAAAGCATATTGAAGATAATGAGGATATTGTGTGCATCTTTGGCTGTAACCCGTCTTTGAAGCTCTCAGGAGCGAGACTATGGAAGGTATGATTAGAACAGGCATCATTTTAAGTGCAGTCTGCCTGTGCTATCAACTTCTTGGATACATCAGCAGCCCTTTAGTTTGCTACTTTACTGCACTCTGCACGTGGAGACCTTCAAGATTTCTGGCAAGCTCGATAATACCTAGGTGTTGTAACAGAGTACAACACAAGATGCTGCTGCTAGAATGCCTCTTTGAGACAAGAGCACAACTTTACCAATCGTAAGGGCTAGCAGGGTGCTCTCAGTTCATCTAGGCTCCAACAGGCGAACCTTATCTTTTTAACTGGAAGCATACAATGGTACAAACCATGCGAGGAATTTTATGAGTTGAGCAATCCCCATTCTGGACAGAAGTCGTCTGTCATTGCACAGACATAGCAATATCCTATTCCAAACTACGGTAGAAATCAAAGTACAATATACAAAATGGAACACATCGCATCAACAATTTTTGATCAGTTTATTCAGTGGAAACCGGTGAGCAGATTCAGGTATATCCATTCTATCGCATTGCTAGCCCTACGAAACGTATCCGTAACTACAAATCTAGGCTCACAATCAACAGGATGAAATTTCTACACACTACAAACAACCACCAACACTAAAAAAAATAGGCAATGATAAAACCATGAGCAGAGCCAGCATGTATACCTTCATGCCTCTCAGTTGACCCGCCCTGTGCGCCGAAACCCCGCACGTCGGACACCGTCACGCCTCTGATCCCCATTTGCAGCAAACCCTGCAAACCCCAATTGACCAACCTAACAGCTCGAGTGCAGGAAGAACACGATTTACAGCAGTAACACACACTATACTCACCGATGACACATAAGGCACCCTCCATGGCCTGCAAGAATCAACCCGGCACATTTCATCAGCAACCAAAAAATGTAATCACAATCAACACGGATCACGATACTAATCGGTCACAAACGAATTTCACCTCAGGATTGCCTCCACCTTGTAGAACTCCGACTCCGGCTGGTACCCTGAAAAATGAACAGACAACGACGACGACGACGACGATGACCCAATCAGCGATAACCAATCCAACAAACCGATCTCGATCGATTTCGGGGATCATGGCGAGGCGAAGAGGGATCCTCACCTGCTGCGGCGGCACTCTGGGCGCGCGCGGCCGTGGGCGGGAGGCGACGAGGGGGCGCGTGGTTGACTCGGAGTGGCCGCTGGAGGCCCCGCGAGCGCGAGGCGAGGAGGAGGCGGGAGGTGGTGGTGGTGGTGGTGGGAGGAGGCCGCGGGGAAGCCGGAGGATGGTGGTGGCGGAGGACGCCACAGGACGCGGCGGCGGCGGCGGCGGTCGCCGGCGACGACATGATTGAACCGTCGGCGATGGAGGAGGATGTGGAGCGTGAAGACTAGTGAGTCGTCGTCGGCTAGGAGTTGACTTGATCTGAACAAGTCAGTGCGAAGGCGTATTATTCGTTGTTACGTAAACGTTCTCAGAAAGCGGAGGCATGCTTGTTCGTGTCGTGTGCATGAAAAGCGTGCTTTCCGTATCAAAGAGTGGGTATCATTTACTAGTCCGTTTCATGATTAGTGCTAATAAACCATGGATTTTTATACTTTGTTCTATCTTAAGCTTCTTGTTGCAAATCTTTGCCAACAACATAATATTTCATCTACAATCACTTATGAAGTCTCCTAAACTTTTTTTATCTCCAAATATAGTTTGGCAAACCAGTTTTATTTGTTGTTAATAACTAAAATTTTGTTAACTTAAAAGACATATTTAAGATTACTTAGGGCCCCTTTGAATCAAAGGAATTATGAAGGATTTTCATAGGATTGAAATCCTACAGGAAATTTTCCTACGTAGCCCTTTGATTCAAAGGATTGAAGTTTTCCAAATCCTACAAAATTCCTATGGAATGGCTTGTTGCATATAGGTTTTGGAGGAAACTTAGGGCCCCTTTGAATCGTAGGAATGAAAAAACAGAGGAATAGGAAAAACACAGGATTCTGACATGAATACAATTGTAAACCAGAGGATTGCAAAACACAGGAAAAACACAGGAATGACCGTTTGATTGGACCACAGGAAAAACGTAGGAATAAGATGAGAGAGATAGACTCAGAGGAAATGTTCTAAGAGGTTAGACCTCTTGCTAACTTTCCTCCAAAATGTGCATAGGATTACCTATTCCATAAGAATTTTAAAGGATTGAATAGGATTCAATCCTTTGTTTCAAAGGCCTTCACAGGATTTTTTTTCATAGGATTAAAATCCTCCAAAATTCCTACATTTTTCCTACAAATCAAAGGGGCCTTTAGCAAGAGGTCCAACCTCTTGGTAAAAATTCTTTGACTCTATCTCTCTCATCCGATTCCTGTGTTTTTCCTGTGGTCCAATCAAACGATCATTCCTGTGTTTTTCCTATATTTTGCAATCCTCTGTTTTACACTTACATTCCTGTCAGATTCCTATGTTTTTCCTATTCCTCCGTTTTTTCATTCCTACGATTCAAAGGGGCCCTTAGTAATTCCCGTAGGAAAGTGTGGGGAACCACCTAATATTATTTACAACAAGTGCCATAATAGAGGTGACTACTACCTTCAATTTTATCCATATCACTCACTCATAAATAAATTAAGAGACAACATATATGATGTGTCACTTCTAATACATAAATATCGATAACTTTAATATTTTCACACTATTTTTGGAGTTTGTGTGGAGGTAACATGTGTAAAAGAGGTATATTGTAGGTGTATGTTAATGTGAGTGTGGTATGAATGGGTTGTACGTACTCCCTCCATCCCAAAATAAGCCAACCTCATACTAGGATGTCCAAATTTATTGTATTAGAATATGTCATATTTTAATATGAGGTTGGTTTATTTTGGGATGATGAGAGTATCTAATTGTAACTAACTAAATATATAGACCCTATATCATATATGGGTTTAAAACAAGGGGCAAAGTTTGTTACATGACATTGAAAAAATGTGTAATTAGCTGGTAGATACCGCAAGAACGTGAATTTGCTGTTGGGCACAAAAACTGGTAATTAGCTATCCGACACTCACGGCACCAAAATAGGAGAGATAAACACTCATTAAAGACAAGTTTGCCCTTAGTCGAACTTGCTCCCTGGTCGACGTTGCAATGGAGGAGGTGGCTAGAGGAGGAGCAGAGCGAAGCCGACCGGCGGAGCGATGGTGGGTAGAGTAGGCCGGCGAAGCTTCTGGAGTTAGGCGGCGGACGCACTCGCACTTCTCCTCCTCGAATTCGTCAGGGGACCTCGGCAACGGCTTGGCTCTATCGCTCCTTGGCCGTGCGCTAAAGCGCCTCCATCTCCTCGGCCTCCTTGAGCCGCCGCGCCATCTCCGCCTCCCACTTCCTCTGCGCCTCGTCCTCCGACGGCTCTCCAGTCTCCTCGCTGCCTTCCTCTGAAGCAGAGGCCACGAACCTAGCCACATGGCCATGGCCACGGCGGCACCCACGTGCACGAGAGAGGAGACAACAAGAGGCCGCGTCGGCACCAAGCAACCGCCACTGCGTCCTGGGGGGCTAGTTGTAGAGGCGAAACTACGGCCCGTGGACGGTGAGGTCACCCTTAGGCTGGTGGTGTCACCGAGGAGGAGGCCAGCAGCCCGCGTTGCGCGCGGGGGAGGAGAACCACCATCGCTCGCCGCTGCTCCGCTAGTCGCCGCCCCGCCCAGCGCGTCGGCACCGAGCAGCCGCCACCGAGGCCTGGGGGCCTAGTTGCAGAGGCGAAGCTATGGCGCACAGATGGTGTCACCGAGGAGGCACTACTAGAAAATAATTTTTCATGGCGTCACACTGTAATTTTCACTAGCAGTTATATGCTAAAACCGCCATAAAAAACATAAGGAGGGGTGGGGGATATAGGACCGCCAGTGAAAACCGATTTTCGCTGGCAGCCAACTTAAGAGGTCCGCCATAAAAAATACTATATTTTTAGAGGCGGACCTTTTAAATGTCCGCCAGCGAAAATCGGCGTTTTCGCTGGCGGCTACTAAGAGATCCGCTAGTGAAAAGCAGAGCCCCGCAAAAATTTGACCCGATTTAAAACCACACGCCACAATTAAACCCACCCACCCACGCCCTCTCGTCTCCTCCTTCCCTGCGCCCCTACTGGCGACGGCGACGACGGCGACCACAACGGGCCGAGCCATGGGCGGCGGATGTGTGGCAACGGGAGGGGGCAGATGAACCACGACTGGAGGGCCTCCTCCTCCTCCCCTCCCTCCCCCAGATCTAGCTGGAGGGAGGGGGCAGCAGCCGCAGCGGCGGTGACAGCAGGCGGGCGGCGCGGAGCTGACGACAATGACGATGCTGTCGGATGGTGCGATGCGGGCGGCGGTGCTTGAGCACGGGTAGGGAGGGCGGATCCGCCACCGCCGGGCCACGGGGAGAGCAGATCTACCGCCGCTGGACCACGGGGAGGCTCTCTCCCGTCGCGGTGGCTCGGCGACGGCGGCGACGAGGCGGAGGCGGTGGCAGGGCTTGGCAGCGGTGGCATCGAGATGGAGGTGGTGGAGGCCGACGAAACTCGGCAGCGGCGGCGTCGAGGCGGATCCGACGGCCACTTCAAGGACGACGACGGCAACCTCGAGTGCGACGACGCTGGCGATGGGTTTGCTTGGGCCAACGGTGGCCGTAGGATTTTTGTGATGACGATGTCTTGTAATGCTGCTGCTGTTGATAGTTGTAATGCTTGAATGATGTTCAAATTTTTGTTAATGTGTTGATATTGTGATGCTTGAATGCTATGTTAATGTCCATTTTCAATTTTTTTTCAACTTTCTGGATGAGATGGTAGAAAGGGATTTATTTTTTTATGGAAAATTATTTTTACTGGCGGTTAGCATAACACAACCGCCAGCAAAAACTATTTTCACTGGCTGCCTTGATAAGGCAACCATTAGCGAAGATAACTTTCACTGGCGGCTGTCTCCAGCGAAAATTTGTTTTTGCTGGCGGCTGACTTAAGATGCCAGTGAAAATATTTCTTTGCTGACCGTCGATAACCGCTAGCGAAGATCTTGATCTTCACTGCCCTTTGCTTTGTGGCGGCTCTAAATTCCGCTAGTGAAGACCCAAAATGGCCACCGCGAAAGATGGTTTTCATAGTAGTGAGAAGGCCATCGGCCCTCGCCACACCGGGGGGGAGGGGGGGGAGACCACCACCGGTCAAGAACCACCTTCGCCCGCCGCCGTCCCGACCAGCGTCTACCCACTCTATATGGCGCCCTCTGCCGCGTTCGCTCGCTGATAAAGAGAAGAGAAGAAAAGAGAGCTGAAGCAGGAAGAAGAACAATGTCCAGGGGCATTTCGGTACTTTCAACGCTCTTTCTCTCTCTATCTTCATCGAAAATAATAAAATAATGCATTGGGTGTCCAGCTGCTAATTACCACATTTTTATAGTGTCCACGAGAAGATATATATTTTTTGAGTGTCTCACAACAAAGACTAAAACTTTGAGTGTCCTTAACAGATTTTGCCAAAACAAAATGACCCTACACCATATAGTAACTTAGGGTGCGTTTGTTCCTGGGGGATTGGGTAAGAAAGCCTATCGTATTCCGCGCGCACGCTTCCCAAACTACTAAACGGTGTATTTTTTACAAAAATTTTCTATAGGAAAGTTGCTTTAAAAAATCATATTAATCCATTTTTGAAATTTAAAATAGTTAATACTCAATTAATCATACGCTAATGGTTCACCTCATTTTGCGTATCTTCCCAATCCCCTTCTCCACTCTTATAGTACTCCGTTAAATTCATGGGTGCAACTGAGTATGTAAGTCATCGCTACGAGCCTGAGCCTACGATCACATGGGCGGTCAAATTAAATGCACATGTTCTCCGTTGCAGACAGTAAAATGTCAACTCCCCCGTATATAGGAATAATTATTTTTAGTTACTTAGGCGACTTGCAAGCAAATTAAATTGCTGAAGTCAAGTCAATTGCTTGCTCATCTCACCCTCACTCTAGATCTTCAGGTTATAAAATGCCAAATGCTCCAATCGATCGATCAGAGCTCCAAATCAGTAAGAGACAGCTAGGTAGGTACCAGCAAAATTACCACTAATATAACTACGAGAATTAGCAAAATTTGATTAGCAATGAGAATGAGAGGCAGTAGGATTGCTCTCCTGCTGCTGATGCTCCTGCAGTGCGGCGGCTTGCCGGGGATCGCCGTCGGCAGGTGCGTCGTCTTCAACTTCGGCGACTCCAACTCCGACACGGGCTCCCTCCCCGCCGCCTTCGGCTTCTACCTCGGCCCTCCCGCCGGCCGCCGCTTCTTCCACCGCCAAACCGGCCGCTGGTCCGACGGCCGCCTCTACATCGACTTTATCGGTAAGTACTACTCCATCCGTTTCGAAATGTTTAACGCCGTTGACTTTTTAGCACATATTTAACCGTTCGTCTTATTTAAAAAATTTAAGTAATTATTAATCATTTTCCTATCATTTGATTCATTGTTAAATATATTTTTATGTAGGCATATAATTTTACATATTTTATAAAAGTTTTTGAATAAGACGAACGGTCAAACATGTGCTAAAAAGTCAATGGTGTCAAACATTTCAAAATAGATGGAGTACAAATCAATCAAACTATCAAAGCCAGGTTTCAAATCTCCAGCATATATAGCTGCCGCTATATTCGAAGATAATTGTTTGAGCAAGGTCTAGCTAATTTATCTAGTATACTATATGACGTCATTGACTTTTTAAATACAATTGATCATTCATGTTGTTTAAAATATTTATATAATCATTATTTATTTTATTATGATTTGATTTATTATTAAATATTCGACTTAATTTTTTTATATTTACACAAAACTTTTTGACTAAAACGAATGTTCGAGCATTTATTAAAAATCAACGGTGTCATATATTAAAAAAATAAATATAGTACAATTTAGTTTATTATTAACTGTTTGAAAGAGTATACCTCTAATTAAATATCTTAACCCGTTATTTAAAACACGGATCAAAGCTACCAACATCATGAATTCATGATCAACTCTGATCATTCGATCATCTGAATGTGTGTAGCTGAGAAGCTCAAGATCAGCTACCTGAGCCCGTACATGGAGTCGTCGGGCTCCGACTTCACCTCCGGCGTCAACTTCGCGGTGGCCGGAGCGGCGGTGACGCAGAAGAGCGCCATCCCGCTCGGCCTCGACACGCAGGTCAACCAGTTCCTCCACTTCAAGAACCGCACCCGCGAGCTCCGGCCGCGCGGCGCCGGCTCCATGATCGCCGAGAGCGAGTTCCGCGACGCCGTCTACGCCATCGACATCGGCCAGAACGACATCACGCTCGCGTTCCTCGCCAACCTCACGCTGCCCGAGGTCGAGCGGGAGCTCGCCGCCTCCGCCGCCATGGTCGCCGACGCCGTCCGCGCGCTGCGCGCGAGCGGCGCCCGCAAGTTCTGGGTGTACAACACGGGGCCCATCGGCTGCCTCCCCCAAACGCTGGCGCTGCGGCAGAAGCCCGGCGACGAGCTCGACGCCGCCGGCTGCCTCGCCGAGTACAACGCCGCGGCGAGGTCGTTCAACGCCGAGCTCGCCGCCGCGTGCCGACGCCTCGCCGCGGAGCTCGGCGGCGGCGAGGACGGCGCCACGGTGGTGTGCACCGACATGTACGCGATCAAGTACGAGCTGTTCGCCAACCACAGCAGGTACGGCTTCGAGCGGCCGCTGATGGCGTGCTGCGGCCATGGCGGGCCGCCGTACAACTACGCCAACCTCAAGACGTGCGGGCAGCCGACGGCGACGGCGTGCCCGGAGGGGGAGAGGCACGTCATCTGGGACGGCGTGCACTACACGGAGGACGCCAACGCCATCGTCGCCCGCAAGATACTCTCCGGCGACTTCTCCTCGCCGCGCACCAAGCTCAAGGCGCTCTGCAAGTGATGAAGAAGACTTCTGCACCGACGACCAAATTAATTAAGTTGATAATTAACCGAGGTTGCATGTTAACCTGTGATTAATTAAGAAATTAATTAGATGAATAAAATGACTGGAATTTGCTTTCGGTCACAATAAAATGCGAACAATCTCGATTCATATCTTACAGTGCATCTTATGTATTGCCGTATAAAAAGGGCACATGTCATAGTTCCATGCTGGGTTCACACCCTCTGCTACTATTAGGGGTAAATGGTAGAGACAAACAGTAAAATGTGAGGAGCGAAACAGTGAAGAGTACTGTTTAATTATTTTATTGAAATTACCGCAGCAATTTGATCTCGTGTATCCAAACTTGATCCAACGGCTATAAATAGCTAATGGCATGGATCACTGTAGTTCTATGCGATATGATCCCTTCCATGCTTGGTATTCATAACTACTAGTAGAATTTTATTTTGTTGCTAGAATATTTTTAACAAACATTTTTAACGAGTTCGAATTGTAAAAAGTGCTCCATTATATGATTGGAAAACTAACAGTACTAATGCGACACACTTCCCAGAACTGGACGATTTCTACGCAGCTTTCTTTATATACTAATTTCTTTGAAAATGCTTTAAATCCATTTTATATTTCATAACAGTTAATTAATTCGTTTATATCCTCAAACGCTAATCACAAAATCATCCAGCTAGTTTTCGGTCTCCTCATCATCTTTAAAAAATTATAGTTTAAGTTTGATAATATACGTTATATATTAATTTAGTGATTAAATATCGGTTAATATGTCTTAATGGACAATTTAATATGTTCCTCTTCTTCTATCTTCCCCCTTCTTCCTCATTACCTTCATTATTTTTTCTCTACGTCTATCATAGTGGACAACGGTAAGAAAACAGACGGCTAGTAGTTGCCAATCATAACCCATTTCCCATTCCTTGTACCCTTAAGTGCGCCGTTGGCTATGTCTCTCTCATTCTACCAAAGGTCGTCACCTTCCAAGAAACCTCTACCGCCTACATAGGCTCTCCCATACTTGGTAGTCACTAACGATGTTAAGTATTACTCGGTTTGTGCTTGTTGTTGGCTTAGGGCATGTCTATTGCAGGTGATGCTAAATTTGCCACATCATTACAATATCAAACAAGTATTGGATTTCATTTTTCTTATCTAGTGTGCTCGCACCGATGCTAACATCCGATGATGCTAATATTAGGTGGACTCATTGGTGCAAGGATGAGTTGAGCTTGGGAGAAAGAAAACGGATAAACCAAATGGGAAAAATTATTCATAAGATTTATTGTGTCTACATTTCACAAAGTAGATGGTATTTTGTATAGGGAATAAAATTTTCAGAAAACTTGATCCTTTTGCAAGTGTCCTAAGTTACAATCTAATTCTCTCTATCAAAACTACAGTAGAAAAAAAACAAATGCCACACCACTATAGTGATCTCTATATCCAAACACAAAAAAGAAAAACCACAAGACCATGGCCCTATTTGGAAGATTAGCCCATGGCTAATTTTGAGAGCTAATGTTTACTCTTGAATTGGTAGGCTAAACATTAGTCTATGGTGATATGTATGGATTCATGAGCTAATTTAGGGCTAAAAGGTGGAGAGAAAGTAGAGAGGAGAGAGAGAGGGTGATAGGGTTGCCTTTTGATGGTCCTCACAGAAAATTAGCCCCATTAGCATCCCTTGTAGGGGCTAATGTTTTGAGGTGGGGCTAATTCACTTTAGCCACAAATTAGTCTACCTGTTTGGATCCTTGGAGGCTAATTCAGGACTAAAAGATGGGGGGGGCTAATAATTAGCCCATGGAACCAAACAGGGCCCATCTCGCATCTATCTCTTTCCACCCAACTAAACGTGCACTAACATCCCATGTGAGTTCACGGTGGATGAAGGTTAAAGTTGGGCGCGAAAAAACATAAGTGCATGATTAATTGAGTTTTAACTATTACAAATTTAGAAAAAACATATCTGTTTTATATTTTTAAGTAATTTCTATATATAAAACTGTTTACACGAAAAATATCGTTGAATCCTTGGAATGAAAAAATGAAGGAATAGAAAAAACACATGATTATAATAGGAATGGAAATGTAAAACAAAAGATTGTAAAACACATAAATGATCATTTGATTGGACAGTAGGAAAAACACAGGAATTAGATGAGAGATATAGACTCAAAAGAAAATTTCCCTCTTGCTAAGTTTCCTGCAAAGTCTCTATAAGATTGTCAATTTCTTAGGAATTTTAAAGGATTAGATATGATTCAATCCTTTGATTCAAAGGCTTTTATAAATATCCTCTAAAATCCTATATACCTATACAAATCATCCCCACTACTACAATTCTCTGCTTCCTGGTGCTTCCACGTCACCCTTTTTATCCCCACCGTTGGATAAGCATCGAGCGCTTCCTTCTTTCCGCATCGCTCCTCTCCTCCCCTCTCCCGCATCGCTACACGCCGGCCCCACCTCCTCTCCCGCATCGCTCCCCTCCTCCCATCTCCCGCATCGCTACTCGCCGGCCCCACCTCCTCTCCCGCATCGCTCCCCTCCTCTCCTCTCCCACATCGCGCTGCTCCGCCGGCCCACGCGCATCGACTCCCTTCTCCTGCATCGCTCCTCCCCTCTCCCGCATCTCGCGCAGCCGCCCCCCCCCCCACCGAATCCACGCCGCACCGCATCCACGCTGCATCCCACTTCACCTCCTCCTCTTGCGCCACTCTTCGCCTCCCCCCTTCCCCCCTCAGCGCCACCCAGCCCTCGCTTGTGCGACCCACACCGCCCCCAACGACGGTTGCCTGTCCTTCTCCCGCGCCGTTCCGATTCCATATCCGAGAGAAGCGAAACGACCGCCGCCCACTAAAACCAGACTTCATCACCGTCATCAAGACATTAATTTTGTTTGCTCATAACGCCATGGCGATATCATTGTGGCCCTTCGCTTATATTGCCAATGAAATTCTGCAATCCACCTCCACCAACTGCTTCGTTTCATCTGAATCTCATTGCATAGTTATTCGGAGTACAATGATCTTCTGATAGGTTTTTTCATCAGTTTGAATCTTTCATGTCTACAGAAGGGTATTTGTTTATGTGGTACCGATGGCCTTCCTTTTGAATTTGTTTTGTGGCTCCTGTGGATTTTCATTCAGGAAAGATAAATCTGGTATGTGCCTCTTCTCCCTTATGCTTTCACCCGGCTTTTGTTTCTTTCTACTCTTGATGATGAATGCTCAATTTGACCTATTATCTTTTTGTAAGTTCAACAATTGTTTACAAGATAAGTTCAGTTTGATTTTATTCAGTAATAGTACACCTATTTATTTCGACTTATAGGATTCGTTGGTTTATGCTCTCGGGTAGAATGGATAATACGGCAGGTTCTTCTCAACCAATTATACGTCGTCGTGGTCGACCACGCCGGCAGCCTTCTAATATCCCGATCCCACGTCCTAATCAACCTGTTGCTGCTGAATCTCGACGTAGGCGTAGGCAAGTTATCGATACAAATAGGAACAGAGGTTTGTTAGAAGATTAACATTCCTACAAGTTGTCAGTATTTTATGCAGACAAAAAAAATGACTCACATTATCAATTTCATCATTTTTCCCTAGCATCAACCTCTGCAGATCAACGAATATTACGCCCACGGTTAATTGGTGAATCTTCTAATTCTAATCATATAGCACAAAATGAACCCCATATTCGTATTGGTTCATCTACATCCAATCAATTATTCAATCACAGGCGTAAGTTGTCTTTTTTACTCCTAGGATCTAACCACTTTAAGGTATCCATTTGCTGTAAAGATTCCTTCACATATACCCATGACACACCTTTCAGGCACTATATTTGAACCATTGAATCTTGGTGGTCCACATCATTCTTGCAGCCACTGTGGTGCTTTTTTTTGGTATGAGGAGCGAATACGTAGAGAGAGACATACTTCAAATCCATCATATAATTTGTGTTGCAAAGGTGGGAGAATATGGCTGCCACCCTACCAACCTCCTCCACAGCCATTGTTGGATTTATTGACCTCACAAAACAGCACTCTTTCTAACCACTTCTTTGATCATATTCGGCAATACAATAGCATGTTTGCAATTACTTCAATGGGAGCTAAAATTAATGAGTCCATAAATGATGGAAGAGCACCATATGTTTTCAAAATTAGTGGTCAAGTCTGTCATCGAATTGGTTCTTTGCTCCCACCACAAGGTCATCGTCCAGAATATGCACAATTATATATTTTTGATACAGAACATGAGATCTCAAACCGGATCAATGTTGCTTCATCTCCCCATGTCACTTTCCATGCTAATGAACAAATTGTTGCATCCTTGATAGAAATGTTGAATACAAATAATCCCATTGTTCAACTATTCAGAACAGCACATGAAAGAATATCCCTAGACGCATCTGATCAATTTTGCATAAGGTTATTTGGTAAGCCGGATGCACATGGAGATATTTATAGTGCTCCAGTCGCTTCTGAAGTTGTTGGCCTGATTGTTGGTGATGTTGGATCAGCTGATGTAGGGCGAGATATTATAATCCAAGATCGTGCATCACGTTTGCAGCGAATCAATGAAAATCACCGCAAGTTTATGGCCATGCAATATCCACTGTTGTTCCCATATGGAGAGGATGGTTATCATGAAAACCTCACATATCGTACAATAGCACGCACTCAATCCATGCAACGGAATAAAGTTACAATGCTAGAGTGCTATGCATATAGGTTGCATGATAGGCCAGGAGACTTCAATACACCGTTACGGTGTAAAAGGCTAACACAATCTTATGAAGTAGATTCTTATTGTTGTGTCGAGGGGAGCCGGATAGCACATTATTGCACACCAGCCTTCCAAAGTAAATATAGATCATCACCATTCAACTCATTGATTAATTCTGTCTCAAGAGGTATTACATCTGGATCTTCTATTGGGCAAAGGATAATATTGCCAGCTTCATTTACCGGAGGACCTCGGTATTTGTATCAAAATTATCAAGATTCTATTGCTATTTGTAGAAAATATGGTTGCCCTGATCTTTTTTTGACATTCACATCGAATTCTGCTTGGCCTGAAATTAGAGAAGCTTTAGCATTAATTCCTGGCCAACAACCTTCCGATCG